TTGAAACAGCAGAAATTTACTCTCTTACTGTTCTGGGGGCCAGAAATCCGAAATCAAAATGTTGTCAAGGCCCCGCTCCTCTCTGAAGGCTCTAGGGGAGGGTCCTTCCTTGCCTCTTCCAGCTTCTGGGGGCTCCCTGGCTTTCCTCATAGTGCTTTGGCCTGTAGATGCCTCCCTCCGGTCTCTGCTTCCCTCATCACATAGCCTGTTTCCTGTTTCAATTTTCTCCTCTTTTATCACTTATAAGGACAGTCATCATTAGCGTTAGGACCCACCCTGATTCAGGACGATCTCATTTTGAAATCCTTACCCCGTCAAAGAGCCATATTTTAAATAATGTCCCATTCTGAACTTCTAGATGTTGGTATTTGTTTTGGGGCCAATGTTCAACCTAATTACACCATGCTATAGTGATAAAGTTGTTTAAATGCCTACATAAACCTGGCAAAAAAGCCTGTAGAAAAATCAATCTGCAGGGCAAATGAACATGCTAGTCTACCAAATGTCAAAATTGTCATAAAGAAAATAATAATAATAATAATAATAGGTAATTATTATTGATCTCTCCCTAAATGATAGGTACTGATGTGAGTGCTCCATATAATCTCTCTTAGGCCTTATACTTCAATGATCTGTAATTTATAGATGATGAAACTCAGACACTGAGAAGTAAAGAAATTTGCCTAAAGTCACACAGCTGGTAAATTTCAGCCCTGTGTTAATAGCATATTGTGGTTAAAATATTGCAAGTAAAATGCATATCAAACATTTGTAGCAGTTCTAAATACCTCTGTGGAACCTGAGGCTGCCACTGTAAGGCTCAAAGCCATGGGGGGGGGGGGTATCGAATGGTTTTCAGCTGCTTGGTGTGAACATTTATCAGTCCATTTTGTTGAGAGTTCATTGTGACAGCGTTCAGTAGTGGTTTTTTAATTTTACAGGATTTTAAGTAAGATTCCATCTCAGTCCTCCAGCTTTGTTCTAATCAACTGTTACCTTCTCTATTAAATTTCTATTTCCCTCTGAAAATGTTTTGCTTTCTTATTTGAGTCTCCCTCTCACTAGAATAATTTTGTCTCCCTTACCCCCTGCACATATACACATAGGCATTTTTATCCATTTAATTTGTGTTTTGCCTCAAAGACTTAAGATTCCATCTTAATGATGTACTGCTACAAGCTAATGTAGCATTTCTAGAGGCCACTAAAAGAATGCAGTTGCCAAGTAAATGTATATGACAAAATAAGTGATTCAAATAGAAGAATTAACAGATGGCAGGAACAATTATATATTCATATTCCTGGCCAACAGCATTTGGTAGGTATAATTACCTTACAGGTGTTAACTGCCCTTCTATCATGAAATGAGACATCTCTGAACACCTGAGAGACATAGTTAAATGACTGATGGCCTCAAATTAGCAAAAATTCTATTGGCTCATTTTTTTAGACATGACTCAGAAAGCAAAATTTAGTTCTAGGAGCCTAGTACTAAGTTCATAAAAAGTGAAACTTTAACAGGAGAACAGGTGTGGTGTAATATTAACATTGATTGCTAGGGAGGGGAAGGGGGAAAAATAGCCCCCAACATTAAAACGACATTTAAAATTCACTCAACATTTGGAAGGCACAAAGTCCAAAATGTCAATCATTTCGGGGAAAGGAAGCAGCTGTCATGAAGAATTCCTTTGAGTTTTTAAAAAAATTACCTGAGCTCCATATGGAAAATAGTTCTAGTTCAAGAAGAAAGTTTCAATATAGGTAAGTTTGCATATGTTTCTTTATAGCCTTAAAAGTATTATACTAGAATCAGGAGAAAGTCTTTTTTAATGCTCTTATTTTTCATGGTTGAATCACTTTGACCAGAAATATTTGAAACCACAGACAAACATGCACAGATTAGGTCATTCAAGCATTGTCACTTTAATTTTATTGTTGTATTCATTTGACATTTTTATCAGTTACAGCTATCAGACTAAGGAAGTGGTAAATAAATCTCAGTCCCCACTGGGAAAGATACTGTCTGATTAAAATTGGGAGATTTCCTCTGTTCTACCTTCTAGTCAACTCTCAATGTCTGAATTTGAGCTATACTCAAAACCATAACATAATGCTTGTTTATGATACTATCATGTATTTTTTTCAAGTTATGCTTTTTAATTTTTGTTTTTATTTTACAAAGTAATAGTTTCATAACTATTTTGTAATGTACTTCAACATAAGTATGACTCTTCTCAAGTATCTTATTTATTGCTGGACAATAGTGATTTCTCAATAAATAATTTTGATTGCTAAAAACCTATTTCAATAACTATTCTTTAGTACATTTTTTTTTTACCTCTTCCAATTCTGTAGAAGAAAAATAGAATGGAGTTTTTCCTTTAAAAGGAGAAAAATGTCCCTTAATTAGTTTAATAATTTATATTGTTTAGTAACACACTTTTAAAGTTGTTTACTTGTCCAACTAATATACAGAGACAGATTGTTATGGGGGGAAATATATGTTGTGCTATATTCCTTTTTTCCTAGTAATGAAGTCTTATTCTCAGTCATATAATTATTGTAATTTTATTAAAATATGTCATAGTTTTGCTTTAGCATTACATTCCCTATGTTAATAGTTGCAATCAAGTATGTGTTCAATCCTTTTTCAAAAAAAAAATTTAAACTAAAAAGTAAAAGTTTTGATATCTGTTGTCTAAGTTATTCTATAACAAATCTGATCTTTTATTTTTATTTTTAAAAATCTGATCTTTTATTTATTTATTTTACTTTGATTGAGGAATTGGGGGAGGGAAACAGCCAAGTTGTTGTCTTTTAATCTTGATGGAGGGTGCAGCAAGCTCAGCTCCAAGTCTAGTTGTGCTGCTCAGCTCACAGTGCTGTGTTCAATTAATTGCGGGTGGGCGTAGCCACACCATCCCATGTGGGAGTTGTTAAGAGCGCATGCTCTATCCCCTGAGCCACGTAGGCGGCAGCTCAGCTCAAGGTGCCGAGTTTGGTCTTTAATTGCGGGAGGGCGAGTAGCCCACCATCTCGAATAGATGGTTGTTAATAATTGTTGTTAAGAGCGCTTGCTCTCACCAGCTGAGCAATGCTGCCACCTGTTGGCAATTCAGCGGCAGCTCAACTCCGGTGCAGCTCACTGACCCATGTGAGAGTCGAACCAGCCAACCCTGTTGCTCAGAACTCACACTCTTGAGCATGCTCTTAACCAACTGAGCCACTTGGCTGCCCCCACTGATCTTTTAATCTTCACTTTTTTCTTGTGTAGGAAAGGATATTATATTTTTCTGCCTTGATTATGAGGAATGTTTAATTAGTGAATAACTTATCCACAAGCATTACATCCATAAAATACAGCCATTAGCATACTCTCCACTCTTACATGTTTTCTAGGCTATGAGTTTAGTAATACATTAGCCTTAAAAAAGTTTTACTCCACCCACCAGGCAATGTTTATCCAGTGTTTTTTTTTTATAGATTTCAAAGAGTAGAATGACTGTATTCAAAAGAAACAACCTGAAATTGAGATAAAGATTTATATTCAATTATACTCTTGTTTTTAGTTGGAAATAGCTCAGAAGTTTCTGAGCTGAGAATTGTTATTTTTAAAAAAGCTTCCACTTAGAAGACTTTTAAGAATATTTTCAAATATTCCTTAATATTAAGACAAAATACCACAATCATTATTGGGAATACAATCTCAATTTTTAACCCTATAATGAAAAGAGATTTGCATAGAAAAGGACTAGAATTGGTATGCAACAAAAATTAACAGTAGTCATACTTAAAAGTAAGATTGTCTAAAATTGTATAATGAGAACAAAACATTACAAAACTGAAAATTCTCTGGTAAATTAGGTAAGAACATTTATTTTAGTTAAAATATTTTTCAGATTTCATTGGATTATAATTTTGAATAGTCAAATTTTTGTACACTTGTTCCCTTGGACAAAACATTAAACTTATTTCTAGTGTGGTAATAACAATGGGAACAATTTTATATTGTTGTGGTTTGAATGAAAGGAAATGACATGGAAAAAGCACTTATGAGCTCTGACAATTAAGTTTGCGAACTTGTTGCAATGCTGTTGCTAACCTTTTTTGATATCAGAGGGATTATTCATTATGAATTTGTACCAACTGGACAAACAGTTAACCAAGTTTACTATTTGGAAGTGCTGAAAAGGCTGTGTGAAAAAGTTAGATGAAAACAACCTGAACTTTTTGCCAACAATTCATGGCTCTTGTGTCACAACAATGCACCAGCTCACATGGCATTGTCTGTGAGGGGGTTTATAGTTAAACAAATAACTATATTGGAACACCCTTCCTACTCACCTGATCTGGCCGCCAATGACTTCTTTTTTTACCTGAAGATAAAGGGAATATTGAAAGAAAGACATTTTGATGACATTGAGGCCATCAAGGATAACACGGCAACACCTCTGATGACCATTCTAGAAAGAGTTTCAAAATTGCTTTGAAGGGTGGATTAGGCGCTGGCATCGGTGCATAGCTTCTCAAGGGGAGTACTTTGAAGGTGACCTCAGTGATATTCAGAATTGAGGTATGTAGCACTTTTTCTAGGATGAGCTTGCGAACTTAATTGTCAGACCTGGTCTAGAGTTATTGCTTACTATATGCTGTCACTAATTAAATTTTGAAATGCATCCCTCAGTTCAACTGAAAGTAGGGAATGTCTAGCATAAATATGTTAGAAGTTATTTTCATGAGCATTGTAGTTAATGATTTTCCATTATGCTTAAGCCCATCATAGTGTTGTGAAATTAATGGGAAACCAGGAAAAACATCATGATTGAGAAACCTATGTAAGATGAAAGTCTTTCTCTTTTGAGATAAAGTCAATTTGGTCCTTGAGTAAATTTAATTTTCTAGCTATTATTTTCTCATAGACAGCTTTAGCTTGTTCCTGGAAGTAACTGCCAAAGTCAGCAGCACTATTTGAAATAAATCCTTTGAGAAAATATTTTCAAGGCACTATTATATAGTTCTGGATTTTTTCAGTATACCTAAGAAGTTTCTGAAACTTTTTTTTCACCAAGAAGGTAAGGTAAATATTCAAAACCTTTTATATTTTAAAAGACTTTAATTTCTTCATTAGGAAAATAAAATTGATACTTAATTAACAATGCAGCTAAAACACAGTATCAGTTTGACTTTTGAAAATTTAATTTAAAGGAATAGCAATGAAAAGCATAAGTTTTTTTTAACAGACCCATGACTTGTAATTTTTTTAAGTTATATTTTCATGCTAAATTTATTTTAAAGTTTGTTTTTATTATTTAAGTTTTATTACTGGAGATTATCAAGCCCATATAAGTATGATTTACTAGCATAGATTTCACATAATAGATTATGCATTAGTCTAGCAGATGGGTGAAATTTAAATTTACTCATGTCACTATAATTTGCTTGCCTGGCTTTTTCAAAACAGCTGATTTGTACTATTAGAGCATTTAAATAGTGTTTCTGACTATTCTCTTCAAGGCTAGACTCCTTTCTGAGAGAAATCCAATAAATGCAGAGGATTGGGAAAAGCTGTGTGTGGGGAAGGGAATGCTACTGTGGTTCAGTACTTCTGATAAAGTTCTTTACAACACCAAGCTAAAGAAAAGCTGATGACCAGGGAGTCACAGAAAAAAGTCCTTCTCAGATTTAAAACTGGAGAATGGATAGAAAGCATGCCCAGAAATAAGTGGCTGATTTCTCAAGTGGAAAGAGGTTAATAGGGGGTGCCCTCAGGATCAATTTTAGGACTGATGATATTAAATCTGTTAATGATTTAGCAGAGGAGCTGAAGAAGTTTTGCCAATGTCATCATTTAATTTATCATAGTAAAAACAGGCAAAGATTAAGAACACAGCTAAAAGAAAGTGTCTTAAAAAATATTCATAGAAGGTCATTATAAACATAAAAATCAAAAGAGCCCACTCCAAACTTTTTGGCTGCCTTTTTACTTGCATGCAAATGGCTAAAAGGAAATAGGGGGGATCTTTTCAAGTTTTATTGTTAATATAAGACAATAAATGATGTGTATTTCAGCTTTCTTCTTGCTTTTCTGAATTCTATATCCTTAATTAATCAAAAGAAGTCTCCATATTAGAGAAAAACTATATTAGAGAAAAAATATATGTACATGCCAACATACATACCAAAATTTTATTCAGAGCATAACTGTTTGTTTTGTTTTACTTCTCATGCTTAGTTTCTTCCAGAATTGGGACAGGATAGCCCACACTAGTGCCATGGTATTTATGAAATACAGACACACCACAATTGAAGCCCATGGTGACCTCAATTTATTGCTTTTTGATGCATATCAAGTCATAGATATATTTACTGGGAAGCCTGATGGATAGAAGAATAAATAGAGTTATTTTGAATTGTAGGTCATTATGACTATTATTTTTTAAAGTCACTGTTGTTTGCCAGATGTTGTAATCAAAAACAACCTTTGGATGATGCGTGATTGCTATTGCTTTCCACACTGCTGGCTCTTGGATCATATATACTCAATCACAGAGTATGAAAATTTAAGAATCTTTAGTACAATATGAATGCTTTTATTCTGAAAACTGGACTTTTTTGAAAAGTTGTGTATCTTAATTGATATAAATAAATTAGACTGCACAGTTAAATACAAAAAGCTGCAGAATATAAGTGTAGCAGATTATTAAATGTCGTTTCTGGAAGTGACCTATTTCTGTAGCTAATGCAGTCAGACTTCTAAAGCAGGAAATTCTCTACAACTAAAATATTTCACTCCTTTCAACAGTATTACCTAATCAATTACTTATGGCTGTATGCCATTCTGTTTATTTGTTTTAGCAATAAAAAATTCAATTTTAAGTTTTGACTAGTATGCATTAAGGATAGATGAGTAAAAAAGGACATGCATTGCATAGGAAATTAAATTATTTCCCAACTATAGTACCTTTAAGGTAACACTTGTTCAGTATAAGAATATGTGAACATACAGATTTTTTATTCTAAGCTCAAAACTAGTAAATACACTTTTAGACATTTTTTCAAAACCCTTTTCATATGATTTCATGTCATAATCTTATATCAACCTTGAGAGCTATTATAAGGTAGGTATTAATATTCCCATTTTATTCATTCAAAAATATCTTCTCCTGGGCCGACCGAGTAGCTCAGTTGGTTAAGAGCTCACTCAAGAGTGCGAGCTCTTTGGGGGAGGGGGATTGTCACTTCAAGGGGTAAAAAGTATAGCTATTGCACTGTGTTGTACAGCTGAAACTAATTCTAAAAAATGTGTATTTCATAATAAAAAATAATTAAAAGAGGAAAAAAAAAAAAAGAGTGCGAGCTCTGAGCAACAGCGGTTCAATTCCCGGCCTGAGCTGAGCTGCCGCTGGGCTGCCAACAGGTAGCAGGATGGCTCAGCTAAAAAAAAACACAAAAAAACAAAAAAAAATCTTCTGCTGTGTGTACATGTGTGTATTGTATCTGGGTATAATTAAATGGAACACCATAGATAAATTTTTTTGTCTGTCTTTTTGTAGCTATTGTACTGAGAGGATTTTCCTGTTTAATTAGAAACAAGGGGAAAGCAAAGAGAAGTCAGGAAGTAAGGAGATTAGTTAGGAGACTATTTTATTGTTCTAATCAGACTTGGACGTTATGAAGATTTGGGCCTTGGTTTTTCAAGTGCATGGAAGAGGGCGAAAACCTATTGGGTTGTAGGAAAAGTCATGACGCAATTTTGCAATGAAAAATATCGAAAAAAAATACATCATGACTTTTCCGACAATGTAATAATATGTTCAGGGTGATTGTTGGGTTTGAGCAAGTGGGTGAGTAACTGTATGCGGAAGAAACTGTTTAAGAAAAGGAAGATAAGGAACGAACATGATGAGTTCAGTTACTGACATGAGTTTGAGTTCCCTATGAGATGAGAAATCAAACTGCATTTGCCCAGTGAATTAGGCTATTCTAATTGACTAAAGTGAAAGCAAAGGAATATGGCCTCTGAACTCTATGTGCTAAAACCTATATTTAGATACCGTGTTTAAAAGAGGCTTAGTAAATTATTAAGGGAGATTATGACTCCTCTTCCCCTACAGGTATTTTTTAAGTATGCAGAAGCATTTGTCGGCCGTGTTTTGAAAATGATCTTGCCATCGTTAGGGAATTACCAGCCCAGATAACCTGTCGAGAACTCTCCCAGAGCTCGCAATCTGTGATATACTTATTTTTATGTTGACACTGTCATATGCTTCTAGTGTACCACATTTTCCATAAACAAATGTTTTCCCTTTGCTATGCCAATAAAAAAAATCATTGTAATTTACTAAAGTATGTTCTCTCTGTCATAAAATTTAATGCCAAGATCTCATATTAACATAAAAGTTCTAATTATTCAATACCATGGTTTTCTTTTTAATGTGTTTTCATCCAAGAAAGTTATGATATACACCTCAACTGACTATTCTATATATTAGTCTTGAATGCAGGGTTTTTTTTGCATGTTTTACCCTATTCTCTTCATTAAATTTATCTCCAGTGTGAACCAAACTAAATACAGAAATCAAGAACTTGGTGTCATTGCAATAAAATACAAATTAAGAATGCCATAATAAAATGTTTGAATACTAAGTTAAAGTTAATTTCTAAAAGTAGTTTCTTTATTAAGCAAACCTGTAACTACCCCTTATAACCAACTGTCTGGTTCATCAAGATTTATTTCACCATGCTTAAACGTGGATATTGAGAGTACTGATAACAATAATAAATTTATTAAAACTATAAAAGCTTCACCAACACCATCTTCTCCATCCTCACAGGTGAAGCTGAACATTCATTCAATCAAAAGTCATTTATGGGGCCAGCTGAGTGGCTCAGTTGGTTAAGACCTCACTCGAGAGTGTGAGCTCTGAGCAACAGTGTTGCCGGTTTGATTCCTGGCCCGAGCTGAGCTGCCAATAGGTGGCAGGATGTCTCAGCTAAAAAAAAAAAAAGTCATTTATGGCTGTACCCACTATGGGTTAGATAGTCTGCTAGATTCTGGAAATGTAAAAATGAAAAAGATAATAGACATGCTCACATTCCAATCATACAGATAAGCATATAAACTGAGAATTTAAAAGTATAAGTTCTGGGGCCAGCCGAGTGGCTCAGTTGGTTAAGAGCTCGCTCAAGAGTGCAAGCTCTGAGCAACAACGGTTCAAGACCCTGCCCAAGCTGAGCTGCTGCTGAGCAGCCAACAGGTGGCAGGATGGCTCAGCTAAAAAAAAATATATATATATATAAGTTTCGTGACATTAATATCAAACAGCATTATAAAGATACCTTAGTGAGCAAGGAGGAGATGTGGGATCAGCTAGGATTCCTAGAGAACATCTAAGCTAGGTGGTATTAAAGGATGGCTAAGAGTAGTTCCCCAGATAAAATGGACAGGGCTATCAGAGAGGGAAGTATATTATATCAGAGGAAAAAGCAAAAACAGAATTATAAATGCAAGCAAAATGCATGTGGATATGGAGAACTATAGATAGTATGGTATCCCAGAAATATGAAGAGGGAGACAGTGATGAGCAGGCAGTGAAAAGGATATTAAATACTTTACTAAGGAATTTGAACTTGACTCAACAAGTCAGTACTAGTCACAGCTTTGGTATTTACAAATGACAAAAAGGAGTTTAAAGAAACTTGAAAAACACAGTTATAGGTAATTATTTTTTTAAATACACATTTTTTATTTTTCAATTACAGTGAACATACAATATTATATTAGTTTCAGGTGTACCACATAGTGACATATTGATTTTACATTTATATAATTTAGTTAGTAATCACCCTGATAAGTCTAGTACCCATCTGACACCATACGTAGTTTTTACAATACTTCTGACTATATTCCTTATGCTGTACTTTCCGTTCCCATGACTGTTTTTATAACTGGCAATTTGTACATCTTATTCCCTTTCCCTTTTTCACCCATTCCCCCAACACTCCTCTCATCTGGCAACCGTCAAAATGTTTCTATGAATTTGTTTCTATTTTGTTTGTTATTTGGTTTTCT